ACTATTGTGTATTGGTGAGGCTATGGAGTTACAGAAGCACTCATACTGGTGGTGGGAATGTAAGTCGGTGCAATCACTGTGGCAGACTGTTACCCTACTGGCTCCCATTTACTCTCCCATTTGTGTTGGGCGTGGTCACGTGACTTGCTTGGCCAATGAAATGTCAGCTAACGGAAAGTAAACAGAGGCTTGGTAAGTGCCAGGACGTTGGAGCCCTCTTGGGACAAGGCTGTCACCATATGAGGAAGAACAGTGTAGTATCTCGGGGTATGGGAGATGACCTGTAGACAGAGGGACACAGTCAGTTATCCTAACTAAGCCCCTCCCTAGTCAACCTTCTGGATGTATATGCAAAGCTAGCAGAAGAACACAGCCTGCCCAGAGAACTGTGAGAAATAATGCCTTGTTGTTATTTTAAGCCGCTGAGCATAGAAGACTAGTTTGTGCTTCAGATCCCATAAACCTAGGGCAAGGGAAGCACCAGGAACTTCTAGAAGCTAAAGTGTAGAAGCATTAGAAACAGAAGGATCAGTCAGAGGCCCCAGGTTTCCTCCATAACACGCCCTGCATCTGGCTGCCTCCTTGACTCCCCTGCACTCTGGACAGGCACTAGGACTCCAGGGCGCAAGTCTCGTGCTGAAAACAAAGGGACCAGGTGAAAGTATCCACTGAAAAGCAAGACTCCGATGCATCAACCAAATCCATGCCATCAGTCTTAGAATTTCCAGCCACACTGGGAGGGACACCAAGCCAATCTGCAGACAGCTAGAGGTCCCTTGTGAGATAGCTCTATTGGGTCACCACACAAGGAGGACCACTGGAGGACAATGCCCAAGCTACCCTCACTCCTGAGCTTCCAAAAAAGTTTTATGTAACTTTCTCAGAAACATGAGTACACAGGCAAGTCCAACTGGCATTGAGGTAAAGCTCCTACCGTAACAGACACGAAACCAAAAAAGAGAGAACAAAGGGAAATTGGTGCTTGGAGCAGGTTTTTTTTTAATGCTATGATTGATATCCTCAAAGAGATTTGAGAAGGTATTGTATTGGAGAAACAAGAACAGGAGAATATAAGAAAAGAACACCTGGAGGACACTAAAGAGCCCTTGGAAACTGCAATACAGTAACCGAAATGAAATTTTTTTCTTTCAAAAAACTTTTGAAAGATAAACTTAAGGGACTCTCCAAGAAGATAAGAAGACAACAGCAGAAAAAAAACAACAAAACAGCAAAAAAAAAAAGGGAAACAGTAGAGGAAAGATAGGAACATTAAAGTATCTATCCAGGAGGCCCAAATCCAACAATAGGATTTCCAGAAAGATAAAATGGAAAAATTAAGGGGAAGAAATTGTCCCCCCAAAATCAGCCAACAAATTTCCCCAGAACTGACATGAAAGTTCAGATTGAGATGGCTCCCCAAACCCAGCATGACGTAAAAAAAACCACATCAAACAGGTTTTCAGAATTTTTTAAAAAATAAAAATTTGCAAGTCTCCAGAGGGCCAGGCATTCAATCTTCAGTTAGATGGAAAATCAACAAGGCATCAGACTTCTCAGAAGAAACACCAGGAAGATGCTAGAAAAATCGCCTGAGAGTTCTGAGGGAAGATTATTTTCAGTGGAATGGGATCCTGTTTTTAATATATGCAAGCGAAAGTTCTGACTTTAGTTTTTGCTCAACTAGCACTTGGGAGTGTCAGAGACAACTGTCTACTTTGTGCTGTCAGTGAACAGGCCATCGAAAACCTGCCCCATGTCTGAGAGAAAAATCAAAGGAATGTTCGTGTATGTCCCCCAAGATGTGTATCAATTTCCTAATTAACATATTAGATTTGTATCTCATGCTTCCTAAATAATAGTAATAGTAATAATAAAGTTTTGCATCAAAAGGAGCAATGCTCTGCAACAAAAGATCTAGAGAGTCTGTATTCTATATTCTAGAATACAATTCTTATTCTATATTCTAAAATAAAATATTCATTGAGGCTTTTAAATGGGTCTGAACTCATACCAATCAGAAGAAATGTTCAAATGAATCTCTTTCCTTTACACAGGAGAAATGACATTAATTTATTGAACAGTATTTAGCAATTTACACACACCAACTCTTAAAGCTCAGCACATCTCTCCTCAGTAAGAAATTACAAAAGGGGTGGTAGATTTTTATCGTTTAATATGACATCATAGTTTTTCCTTTATCAAATTAAGTGGATTACAAGTATATTTTATCTTTCAGTTTTTTAGCGGAAGACATTATGTGAGATGTATAGTTTGGACATTCTGGAGGCAACACTCTCACTTTATTTTTCCCTATATGACTTAGAACCCCTATTGTAGTTCAGTATGAGGAGAAAGTTTTCAATAAATACATAATAAGAGAATAAAATTTAAAAAAATATTTTTCAATATAAGATATTTGTAAAGTCTTATAATAGATATTAGACAAGAAGTTTAAATAGGATGAATTTTATTTAACTTTCTACTTAGTAAACTTAGTTTTAGAAATATTTCTACTCTGGTAGAATTCTATACAATCAAGTTCTTGGTATTACAGAAATATGTACATGATGCTTGTAATTCATAAGGTCCTGCAAGATATGGAGAAAAGCCTGGCCAGAAAACAAAATTTACCCATCTACCAAAATTTGCCAATTCTACCATGAACTAAATGACAACATATACAACAACCTCTCTCTATCTCAGCATCTAGAAATGTTATCTCAAAAAAAGAGAAAAAAAAAGAATTACAGTGTGCCACTATAGTCCGTTATAATTTGATGTAAAAATTTTATGTTCTCATTCATTCTGTACCAAGTTTCAATGCAACTGTTAGCAAGGGACCATAACCCCATGTCTGTCTGTGTGAAAAACTGGCCATGTGTCCTTTATAGTGCATTCCAGAGCTCCCCCATCTATGCGTTATTTCTTTATTATTAATTCTGAGTCTCCAGTTGCTGGTGAGGCAGTGAGAATGGGAGATAATAAGCCAGTGTGTCCTCTTGCCCCGAATGTCTTCTTACATGTGTCACTCTTCCTGCACTCTTCTCCATTCCATCCCTTTCTGGAGGATGCTACATCGGAACAGAAAATATGTATTGCTTGTATTACACCTCCTCTAGCTTCCAGGCTCCTCTCCTAAGCTCCCCAAAGTTTTTGAGGCAGCTCAGAAACCATGAAAAGAAGTGAGAGGAAAAGATACACTATGACCCAGGTCCTATCGTAATGCAGGTGCTAAGCATGTTTACTGTGGCTCATACTCTCTAATATTAAGACGATTATTGTTTTATTGCAGTTTTATAGATGAGTCGATTGTGACTCCGAATTTAAATAATTTCTGCAGTTCACAGAGCTAGCAAATGGCAAAGCCAGGATTCACAACCCAGACCACTGGCCCCCGAGTGTTAGCCTTGCCAAGCTGCCCAGGTGCGTCTCATTCTCCGCTCTCTGCCTCTTCTTTGCTGTCCCCCAGTTAAATCAGTTAAGGGCTCCACTGCCCTTGTACAGTTTGCCATTTAGAATTACTGTTACTGAAGATGAAGTCCATTTGACGCAGCGGCTTCTGAACAATGACCTCCAAGCTCTGTGTCTCAGAACCGCAATATATCTAACCAGGATCAAAAAGAAAACTTTATAAATACCATAGGAAAAAATCAAAACACAATTATTTTTAATTTGCTGATTTCATCTCCCTGGAGTGCTTTTAGAAAAATAATGAGATAAATAATTACAAAGTCATAACTAGATGGTATTTAACATTTTACAAACGCAGTACACTCAGAACCATGTGCGATAATGACGGTATTCATTCCTATTCATCCTCTCTTACTTTCACGCAAGAATAAAAATGGAATGTTCTGGTTACATTTCATTTTTCCTCTTCTTCTATTCTGCTCTGCTCTATGCCCTGCGAGGCTGAAATCTACAGACTACGATTTCCAGGCTTCCCCACCTTCAGCTCATTAGATGCAGCCAGTGAGAGACACAAGAACATGAACTGTAGGAGAAGGAGAGAGTCGAGACCTTTTTATTCCTGTCCCCTCCCCGCCAGATTATGGCGTTGGCAGTGGCTGTGTTCTTTTCTCTGCAGCCACAGCTCCTGTCGTGTGGCTGTTCTCCCTCTGCTACAGCTTCCATCACATCCCAAGAACAGCTTCCTCTCCACAGCCCTTCCGACCGGATGGAGGTGACAGCTTTGAGAATTTATCAGTTCCTTGGTGATTCAACAGCACATCAATTAAAACTCCCCTCAGTTGACTCTCTGGTTGTGACAACTGTCTCCTGACCGTGAGAGTAATGACTACCAGAGTTACCCCCAAAGCGTACCCTCAAAATAGGATAATGGGATAGGATTGCTCCCGTATTTCATCAAGGCAGAAAACGCCTCCCTGATGGGGAAAATGGACCTTACAGCTCTGTGGCCTGCACTGGCATCACTGTTACTCACACCAACACTCCTGGTAGCATGGGACGAAGGTGGGGCGGAGGGTATGGCTGGCACTTAGTTACCAAAGCAACAATACTATTTATCAAGATGTAAGGTGGGATAGCTATTCCTGACTGCCCTGGGAAGTGTAACCAAGGGGACAGATACATTTAAAGTGTTGACTTAATTCCAAGTACTGTGGATTGCAACCCTGCAAGCCTCACAGGGTGATGTTCAACCCTGCCTGCCCTACAGAGTTAAACATGCAACTTGCAGGTCTCCCAGGCTAAGGTAAAGCCTTGGTTGAAAAGAAGTGGGATTCTGCATGGCAGTGGCTGAAGCATACTTGAGGTTGAAAAATCAGGATCTCCAAATCTCTCTGTCACCATCAGAAGTATACGACTGAAGAAAAAAATAATATTAAATTTGGGCTAAATTTATTTATATGCACCCATATAATTTGGGATTATATGGGTGCATATAATCCCAAACTTGGGATTTAATAAATTGATTTAAGCACCCGGGAATGGTATTAGCATTCCGCATGATGGATCAATTCTTTCATCAACAGGCATCTATAGTAAAAAAAAAAAAAAAAAAAAGGTTAAAATGAGAACTCCTCAAGGTAAATCGTGAATGAATGGGGCCAATGACTTAGAAAACGGACCTAATCTATGCAAACTGCTCAGCTACCCCTAAACACACCCCAGGAAGGGACAGGACATTAAATATTTTGTTGCGAGGCTGACACCAGTGTGAAGAGCTTTTCTCAGGATGCCCTCAATAGTCAGCTGCCCAGATGACCCACCCCTGTGGATCCACGGCACCTCCTTTTTCCGGTTACCCTGGGGCTTGTTCAATGGTCCCACATACAAAGTGGCCAAGGTAGCAAGAACGGAGGCTCCGTGTGAGCTCAACAGCAGGAACTCTCCACATCTGACCTGGCTGCTGCTAGCACTGAGTGTCCACGCTGCCAGCAGTGGAAGCCAGTGCCAAAGCCTGATATGGCCTCGTTCCCCTGATGGCCAGAACCACCATTACCCGGTAATTCACCAAAACGACCAACACAAAGGGACAGAGGAGAGGCCCCGCTCTCCGCTCTCCAGGCCTTTTAGAGAGTATGGCGCTGTTCCTCTGGCCACGTATGTGCCAATCCTCTAGAAGAGCAATGTGGCAGACATCAAGGGAATGGCACGGTTCACAAAGGAGCCCCGAGCCAGTGTTCCTAGGGCGAAACCAGAAGCGTCCACAGTGTCAGGCGGCAAGCTGTTGGCATTGCTGCAGCAATGAAACAAAGGTTCTCGCCAAGAGAATTAATCTACGAACTGAGCACATACACTCCGAGAGCAGAGACTGCTCCCTGAAGCATGTGAAGGGAATGATCAGAGAGAGAAAGGAGGCTGAACAGAAAGTCAAGTGGGCTGGGCTGAAGCGCCAGCCGGCTCTGCCCAGAAAAGCGCGCTTTGTGAGAACCACCGAGAAAGGGGCTGAGCTGCTGGAACCCACTGCCTACCAATTCATGGCGCAGTAGGCATTTAAAAAAAAAAAAAAGACTGTGAAAAACACAAACAAAACAACAAACCAGTAAGTAGCACTCTTGCCACTGCTAAAGCTCTGACGAAGTTCCGGACCAGCGTCTTGCCCCTCGGGCCTCGGCAAAGGGACCACTGTCCGTGGTGACCAGACCCTGGTGACTTCCTGATGTCCCTGCCTGCTCTTTCTTCACTTACGCCTCCACCTGGGCTCTTCGTTACACTCTCTTAGTTCACTCAGAGGGTGCCATCTGCTGCCTGCCAGGGCCCGACTCATCCACGGTTGTCATGTCTGTGAATATCAGGTCAGCTGTACACAGTGACTCAAGGCTTTGGGAACAATACACCCTCACAAGGTATCATTACATAATGTTCTCTTTTGTGAGCTAAAAATTGTCCTCAGGTCTTTGTATAAGGGATGGCTTCATTTCTTCTAAGTAAAGACATTAATGTTTGATGATACTTGTGAATTATATACAGTTGACCCTTGAATAGCAAGGGGATTAGGGGTTCTGACCCCTGTGCAGTTGAAAATCCACATATAACTTTACAGTCGGCTCTCCGTATCCATGGTTCTCCGTCCACAAATTCAACCCAACCGCAGCTCCTGTACCCTGTAATACATGTTTATTGAAAAAACTCCCCATATAAGTGGGCCCACCATCAGTTCAAACCTGTGTTGTTCAAGGGTCAACTGTAATTCCCTTTTTGTCATTATTTGTTCAGCAAACATATTTATTATTCATTTGTTCAGTAAACGTATTTACTATTTATCTCCACTGTGCTTAGTACTATGGATACAGCAGTGAGCAAGGTCCCTACTCTTACGGAGTTTCAAGACATTAAGAAAAAATGAAATTAACAAAATAAGTAGAGATGAGTCCTGGTGTTAATGGGAAAGGAGTCAGTCAGGTGAAGCCATGAAGGAGGCGACTCTCGATCTGAGGGACAGGACGAGTCGGTGGGGGGGGGGTTGGTGTCCTCCTCATTCTCCATTGTCTGCTTTAGTTCAGGTGTTTACATTCCCATGTACCCAAGAGAATGGCTCATCCCCAGCTCCAGGAGGTAAACGTTGGTGACTCCAAGCCAATCATGGTAATTCCACCCCCTTGACACTGAGTCATTCAAGCTTGGGCACGACACACGACCCCACTGAATGGGACATACAGGGATATCCGTGGGGCACCTTCCTGGAAGGATTTTTTCCTCTCTAAGAAAAAAAGACATAGATATAAAGGTTCCTTCTTTTTTGGGTGAATGTCACCATAAACGCCTCTGATGCTTGAAACTGCAACAGACAACTTCCAATCGTGAGGTGACAAGGCTGTGTCCACCCATGTCCGGAGGACAGCAGAGCAGAGAGATGAACAGAGCTGGGTCCTGGATGGCACTGCTGAGCTGATAAACCTTGGACTCCCCAGCCCTTTAGTTACTTACGCCATGCTTGGTCAGCTTAAGAGCATTCGGGTAGGCAAGAACTCAAGGGAGCCGTCACATTGAAGCCGAGACCTGGAAGTTGAGAAGAGGCCAGCAGTTGACAAAGTAGGGGGCAGCATGCCAGGGGGAGGGAAAAACCAGGATAAAGACCCGCTACCTGCAAAGGACAGGGCCACCAGCCGCTAAACAGCCCCAGCCTGCGTACACGCATCGTCAGTCAGCGGTTTCCCCAACTTTTTATTGTCTTCACATTTCATTTTCTAGGATCTAATATTTATCCTATATGTATTTTTGTAAACAGTCTTAAATAATATTTGGAGAGTATAAAAAAGTACAGAAGGAGATCCCCCAAACGCCACAACTTTCCCAGGTTCAAATAATGTGTCTACTTTTTTCCACTGTGTTTTACAGAACTGGAATCCCAATTTTGAAGGGGAAATTATACTCACAATCATCGTTATTCATGTTGGACACCAATCCCAGTGTTCGAGTCTGATCTGACTCACTGAGACATAGTCCAATAGTTATCAGCCATAGTTTATTCTGATAATAATTTAGGCCCTTGTAAAAGATAAATGAATTTAGATACATCAGCTATGCTTCCTGTTTTGACCATCTTGAGTGTGCCCTTCTATACTTTTTCTTATTATTTATTTTTACAGGGCCCATGGGCTTGGCTGAGTCTGTGGAGAAAGCCTTCCAGACAGGCATCAAATGTGCTTTAACATAATCCCTTCGTTAACTGCCAACATAATCTCTCTAATAACTACTAAGCTTCAAAACTCATGACTTACTGTTTGTGGTTTGTGACATTCAAACATGTAGGGTCTTTAATAGTAAAACAAGAAACAAGCAGAAAGTTCTTTGAACTCTAACCTTGCAAGACCGAAACAGTTCCCTGATTTGGTTCAAGACCACTTTTTCAAAATTATCAGAAAAAAGTACAATGTACAATAGGAAGTTGCACCATAATCGATTTTGAAGCAAGACTCGTGGTCTTAAAAGCGTGACTTCATTTATCCTGCGGTTCTCTTTGCTTCTCCCTCCTTTACCTTTCTCTTTATTTTTGTACCTGAATAATCCCAGCCATTAGTCTGCAGTGACTCAAGTCTTCTCAAGTTTATTAGAAATCCAATACAGCTGTGCAGTTGCATTGTGGCTACCTGATTTATGGATTTCAGCTAAAGAAATACACAAAATAAGTATTTCCACCTGTATGGACAGTAAAAATTTGGTAAGGCCCAGTTTAAATCAGGTTTGGCAGAAAAAGAGCGATAAACACATTAGAACAGTTTTGAACAAACTATTCCAAAACATAAGAAAGCCCTATAAGTGCTAAGTTATAGCACTGCTCAACGTGTTATGCAGTTAAGAGCCTGTGGGTCTCATCATTAAAAATCCTGTTTTCAGTGCTGTTTAGCACCCGTATAAATATTACACCTGAACAAAGATTAAGGATATAATGCCTCAGTGAAAGAACAAGATATTTTGGGTTCTTAAAAGCTTTGGGGTTTTCTCTGTTATTGTTGTTCAGTTAATGTAAACCAACAGTCTACAGATCATATTCACTTTGATTTTGCCCTTTTATTTGTGAAAACACAAAGACACGTTTTGTTGATGCAAACTGACAAGATTCTAAATAATAAAACAGTGCCTTACTTGTATGGTATTATTTCTTAGTCCAAATCACTAGCTGTGAATTGGTTTGTCACTGATTAAAAGCAGACAGTGCTTCTCAAAGTATCATCCCCAGCAGTTCAGAATATTTATCGAACATCCATTAAACAGGTAATGGGTAATACTTGCAACAGATGTCTTTTCCTACTTTTTTCCCGAGCCAGATAATAAACATCTCTCATTACTCATGTTCTCACAGCTCTTAAAAGCCTACTGGGTAAGACCACGTCCATGCTTAGATTTTTCATTTATCTAAATGATCCATAACGATATTCTTTTACTCACAAAGTGCTAACAACGGTGAATGGAAAGACTTAAGCTAAGGCCCATGTTTGAGAGGTTCCACTGGCCGGCCCCTCATTATCTGTGAATAGCCACGTCACACATCATGGGGTTCCAGTAGCTGCTGTCCTATAACAGCTGGTGTCCTTTGGTTTGTTGATAATGACACTTCTCTTTCACTGCTTTCAATCAATTATTGCTCTGGGTATTATTATCATGTATTTAAATCATGCATAATATTTTAATACCTAAAAATTGTAGAGGGGCAGGAAGGAAGTCACTATAAGCCATACCCAGGGTGAAGAGGCAGGATTCAGGCTTCCAGATTACTCAAGAATCTTCTAGAATGTCTCTTCTGGCCAGAGCAGGAAAGAAGGGCAGTGCATGCAGTGCAGGCATCAAGGACAGTGCAGACAGTGTAGGAGCCCCAGGAGACACCAAGGGGGAGTTCCAGATGGTATTCGGTCCAGGGAGAAATGTCCTGGGCATTCAGGAAAAACCAGATGACCCTGGAGACCCTCAGGGTACGCACTGGGAAGGCTATCTTCCCAGGCCTGACCAGAAACTCACTTTCTACACTAAGCTTGACCCAAGACCAAGAGCTGTGAACTTTCCCTCCCAGGTGAGCCAGGCGATGTTTGCTGCTGCCAAACCAAACATCAGTGCTTTGTCTCGACCAAGAACTGGACTTGCCCTGCCCTCACCCACCCCCACCCATCTATGATTTTAATTCCTTCCAGCACCACTGCAAGAGACTGGAAGAAGACCCTCCTTATAATGTGCAGGCAGTCCAGTGTCCATTCTTGAGAGATGTCTCCCTTTAAGAGGTAGGTCACATTTGGTTCTCACAGAATTACCTGAGCCTCTGGCTCTCTTGCCAAAAGTCTAGATGCTGCCGCCAAACTTCTTGAGCAACCGGAACAGCAGATGCAGTGGATACAGAATGGACAAAGAGGCAGGATAGGTCCCGACAAGTCACCAGCTCATCTCTGAACAGGGACTGTATGAGGCTTGGAGAGACCATGAGAGCAAGACAGATTCTGTCCCCGCCCTCAGAGACAGAAAACAAGACAGAAACTTCAATACTGCATGATCCAGTCTGCACTAGGGCATTAAAAATAGTGCTACAGGGCTTCCCTGGTGGCGCAGTGGTTGAGAGTCCGCCTGCCAATGCAGGGGACACGGGTTCGTGACCCGGTCCGGGAAGATCCCATATGCCGCGGAGCGGCCGGGCCCGTGAACCATGGCCACTGAGTCTGCGCGTCCGGAGCCTATGCTCTGGAACGGGAGAGGCCACAACAGTGAGAGGCCCGCGTACCGCAGAAAAAAAAAAAAAAAAAAAAAACAGTGCTACGGAAGATCAAAACAAGGACACCTAATGGAATCTCATGGAGGTGGGCAGGTGGGAAGGAAAGGACCCCTTGTAGGCAAAGCCAGGGGTCAGTCTGGAGAAAGATAGGCATTTAGGTGAAGACCGGAAGGACCCATCCACTTTAGAGCCTCCCCACCAGAAATAATTAGAAACAGATTTTCACTTCCAGCCAAATCCCATCACTTGGCTTACCTCCCTAGTTACTATGAAAAGTTGACTATAATTAATTAGTGCCCTAAATTGTTCTCAAATTTGTTTCTGGGTAAAAAACATTGTCTCCATGATTAATTGATATCTCCTTGCTGGCAGTCACCGTCCTGGTCATTGTTTGCAGTCCCCAGTGTTTACCAGTGCCAAAAACAGTGAATTTAATTAATAAAACTCTTGTTACATGAATGATTGGTTCACATACTTTAAAAAATAATGTTTGCCAATATTTTATAAATGTCAGCTACCGTACTCTGTCATCTTGAGACGAGGGAATCTCCTGAAATGAGTGTAACTTGTATACTGCTCTCTAGGCCCATTGATCACTTTTATCTTTTCTTTAAAAGCATTAGAATTATTGATATTATCTTAGACACATAACTGTACATCATGACCTAAATCTACCAGAAATATTCTTTTTTATAATGGAGATTTTCAGACAACTGGATTCTCCACATGGTGCTTGTTAATGAGAATCGTCATGATTAATGTTAAAAGATAAAGCACACAAACCCTCGCTCGCATTACCCATGTACCTGAAGGACTGTCTTCTCAAGTTCTCGGACAAACTGCCATGAAATGCTATTCTCTTTAAACTCCCTCATTTCCAAACTAGCAAATATTTTTCAACAGACGATGTTAGTCAACAGCATAGACTAAAAAGAGTCCTAAAAATGGCCAAATCAATATAAACAAAATTTATTTAGTAGCAGAAAATTGCTTCTGTGCAAATATCTCGTACACTATGTTTTAACGTAAAGGGGCTATTTTACAATGATAAGCACCTGGTGACAGATCCATAACTCTGTCAGCGACAGCAGATCTCTGGCTCCTAAATTACTGTCCTGTTTTGGAGTTTAATCATTTTTCTTAAACAAAGTAATTATAACTGTTAAAAATGTGGTCCTAAATTAAAATACAGACCCTTATGAAGAAGCAAAATGTCTGAAAATAATGCAAAGTAAAATATAAAATAAAAAGTATTTAGAATTATTTTGTAAACAGAATTATTTGATTTGTTGTTTCCTCCAAGAAAATTACTTTTGTGATTCAATGGTTGCAAGAGGTAAAATCTTTCAAGAAATATAAGGAAAATTTTTTTTTCTGAGCTTTACAAAGATGCCTGAAAACCCCTCCTGTAGTTTATGTGTATGTTTATAACACATATAGTATTGAATAATGTAACAAATGTAATGCTAACAATATCTTTTCCCACACTCACCCCCCAGACCATGTAATATGACTTACTGGGAAATGGTATTCATCTGGGCTTTTACTCTCCTATTCTCATAATTGTGTGAACTTGGAAGACAATGGACATGGGCAAGTTATTTAACTTCTCTCTGCCTTCGTATCTTACCTGTAAAACAAGACAATGACACTTAGCTGGGCTGGGCCGGGACTCTAGCTAATACTTCCCCTCAGCCCGCCCCTCTCTGTTGAGGCTTTGCCGATAGCCGGCGCCAGAGCTAGACCTCGAGGCTGGAGGAGGGACCCGCTCCTTCCTGACTGCTTCCTGTCACTCCCTCCAGCCTGCCTGTCTCCCCACTGTTCCTGTCAGCACGACCCTGGCCTTGCTTCTTCACCCTGGCAGCAGCACTTCATTCTCATAACAGCCTCGGAACACAGGCTGGAACGGTCCCACTGCTGCAGGACCAGCCTCATCACGGCCTCTCCCCATCAGAGACACCTGCACAGTGGCAACACTTGATCTCAAAGCCCAGAACCCTAGACCCCATGGCTCCACCTGACACCAGAGACACCAGCATCCGCCAAGCAAGGCCTGCTCCTCTGAGGCCTCAGGGGCAGTGTCACGAGGCTGCCCTCCAAGGTTCTAGTTGTAATCGTTCCAGCCTCAGGCTGAGTGGTGACAGCTGCTTTCTGAAACTGCTACCTGTGAGGGCTCAGTTTTCTCTGTTGGCTTTTTCAGTTGCCTAGCAAACAATGTGTTAGACCAAATGAACAGTTCTTTAAAGCAACTTTCTTTCTCTCTTAAAATAACTGATGTGACTCCTGTCTCCGTACCAGAGCAGGCCTGAGCCAACAGTATCTCTATACCACCACCCTGTCGCAAAGATCACATTCACTCTTTACTCTTTGGCATCATTTAGCACCGTTAGAGCAGAGACGAGTCCGGTACTGTCCTAGGCGGTGGATGCAGAATGTTGATCAAGACATACAAAATTATGCTGTAAAATAAAATTTAATTTCACAGTGCTCTGGACACCACAGAGAGCCCAGAAATTTAGAGAAGCTTCTGGTTCTATCAACTCTGGCTAGAACACTTACAGTCAAGCCTACTGAAAACAAAGTATATTATACGTGGTGGAAAAAAATCCAGGAAATTAACAAATCCAGTATAAGTGAAGGAGTTTTCTAACAAATACCACCACTAAGAAGTGCTGCTGTGAACCGGACCTCGCTTCCAGGGCAGGGAAGTTCTTGCCTTTATTCGCAGAGGTTGCTCCTGGGTTTTAGTTTAGCGCCGTGAAACGACACAGAGAAGAAGACAAATTGGAAGGCGTTCCAAGAAGTTCCCCCCCCCAAAAAAAGATTCAGAGCGGTGGAAGGGCAGAGTAATGAGGTAAGATTGCAATGACTCAATGTATTTTGATCTAGGATTCAACTAAGTGCAATGGTGACGTCTAAAAATAAGTGGGGCAGGAAAAGAAAAAATAATTATAGGGAAGATAATATATAATAATTAACTACTGAAAAAGAGTATGCTTTAAATCATGGGATACAAGTAAAGCAGGAATAAACTGAGCTGATTATAGAGACTCAATTTCTCACACTGAGGTGAGAGGAGTGTTAGCATTTGAAATTCACAGCCCTTAGACAAAACATGTAATTATTATCTGCCAACAGCACAGTCCAAAATGATGCAGTAGTGTTCGTCTGTTTCTAATCTATAAAGTTCTCCATGTTTCTCAAGTTATCCAACCCATTCATTTCTCTTTAATTAAAGTACTCAGAAAATTCTTGTAAATCTTAGAAATGCCTGGGATGTTCTCTTTCTGAAAGGCACTGGTAAGTGCCACAAAAAATAACCCAGTCACAAAATATTAAAGTTAGACATCTCTGTAGATACAGCTTTCACTGTGTATCACGTAACAAACAAATCTCAAGAAAAACAAATGTATTTTATGTATGAAGTGAGAGTAATCTCTGATTTTCAGTAATAAACTTTACAGCGTTATGAAAGTTAATATGGGTCTGCTCGCAATCAGTTAGCAAAAGTGAATATTTTGTGGTAATCGGGCTATAAATGATCAACATTAGAAGAGAGCAGAAAAGGTCTTTTACCCAAATATTCTCAATCTCACCAACAAATCTGCTCTAAAACACTCTCTTATGTTACTCTTTAGTCAACCCTTCTCTCGTATTTAAGGGTCTAAACTTAAGTTAATCATCCTTGTTGGCCCTCAGTATAGACATTCACTGTCTTTATTTGTGCCATAACCTTTTAGAAGTATGTCTTCAGGGCTCCCTGTCATGTTCAGCATACAAAGTCCTCTTTACTACCTAGAGAAAGGAGTCGAGGACTGGTATGAGTTAACTATCAGGTCGCTGTAACTGACTGACAACACAACTTCTCAGAGGTTTGGGAGCATGTTTTTGTTTTTGTTCTTTGTACCTCTGCCATACTTTGTCCATTCTTCGGACGGTCTTGAAGCTGAGGTTGTGTATCTTCCCGATTACTGAAAGCTGAAAAGGAAACTTTTCTAGAGAACACAGTAAAATACAAATGTGATGTCATTTTTTGATGTTTAAGTTTTATATTTTTAAAGAAAAACTTATATTTTATATTATTTAAATATATATTTATATTTTTAAAGAAAACCTTTGCATAATTTATAAGCTGGTTGAGAAAATACATTTTAAAAACAGAATTACCATGTAGAGCAAAAGTTAATCAAAGCTGACTCTAGATTACAATCTCATCAAAATGACTCATCTAAACATTTCCCAGAGATTTAGAAGGTAACTTATTTCTTTCTGGTTAGCCGGATGGCCCTCTGGCCCTGCTGTAGTTGAGCTCAGACCATAAAGCTTTAACCCCATAAGCTATAAAAGCCTATTTTCTAAGTGGTGACTCTTTGGCTCTGAGGGTGACTCAGATGCTATGGCTGAGTCAGTTGCTCTTGCTGCCCGAGCTGACGTCACTTTTCTCTCTGCTTGTTCCATATGAACCCTGAGTAAGCTGCGTACAGCACTGAGAACCACGCATGGACCCACCTGATCCAAAGGTTATAGAAGTATAAGGGAACTCAGTAAGCTAACTCTTCTACTTTACGGGAGATAAAATGAGCCTGGAGTCCTTAAACTAATTATTAAAGCCCTACGGCATGTTATGAGTGATGTGTAATAATAACAAGAGTGTGTACTGAGGATCTGATATACTTTAGTCAGTAAATTAAGGGCTACCCGTATATTATGAGATTTAATCCTCACATGAGCCATGTGAGAAAGGCACTATTATTACCCTTATTTTACAGAAAAGATGAATGAGGCACAGATAAGTGGAGTCATTCATTTTAGGTCTCACATGTAGAATGTGGAATGATTAGAACTCAGATGGCTGGACGTCAGATATTATTCTCTTAACCGCTGTATGTAATATACTTATCTGTAGCCGGTTCAACAAAAAATTATGAGGCAGCACAAAGCAAACTGTCAGGGACTCAGATGTGACTAAATCTTTGTCCTTGCCCTCCTGAAGGTCACAGCCTAGTACAGGGGTTGACAGACTTTTTCTGTCAGGGCCCAGATCATAAATATTTTAAGTTTAGTGGGCCATTCAATCTCTGTTGCAACTACTCAAATGTTGCCACTGTGGCATGAAATCATCCAGAGACGGTACATAAATGAATGGACATGGCTGGGTGCCGATAAAACTTTATTGACAAAAACAGGATGAGGGCTGACTTAGTTTGCCCATCTCTGGAAAAATCAATTACATAAATATATTACAATGCAACATATGTCCTGAGGGTGGCATATATAAGCCGCTGCAGAATCACAGAGGGAGGAGTGATTTAGCCTGCCTGAGGTATTCAGGGGAAGAAACATTTGAGAAATATATCTAAACATTAGTAAATTAATTAGGCAAGAAGGTAAGGATACTCCAGGCAGAGGTGACAGCATAAGAAAATTTTAGATACAGGACATTTGAGAAACAGTAGATAGTTTGACAAGACTGAAGTACAGGTATCTGCTAAGTAATATTGTAAGAGAAAAAAAAAGAGGTGGATGGAGTAAAGGTGGCATTTCATGACAGGTCTACAATAGAGTGCTAAGGAATCTGAATTTTAGATGATAGAAGATGGGGAGGTATTGAAAACTCTTTAACAGAGAAATAGCATCATTAGATTTATGGGGTTTTTTAATGAATAATCTTGCAGGATTTTCTTCAAAGGGAAAAATGTGATAGAGCATATTCCCAAAGCACCTTTTTTGTATTGGACATATCCAAGTTTTAAAATACAAGTCAACTTCAAGAAATATAGTAATACACCGTAAGAAGAAAAAATGGAAAGGAAAAAAGCCCATGTTGGCTTTTTTAACTTGTGATGCTATTACAGCTTTTTTTTATTAATGCCCTCAAGCTATACTTTTTGTTTAATTAATCTTTGCATCTTGGATTCATATATTGTTTTATGTTGTTCATGAACAGGAAATCTGTTTAATAATTCTCCTCTGTTCCAGTCTAAATAAAAATGTTTAGGGCTTCCCTGGTGGCGCAGTGGTTGAGAGTCCGCCAGCCGATGCAGGGGACGCGGGTTCGTGCCCCGGTCCGGGAAGATCCCACATGCCGCCTAGCGGCTAGACCCGTGAGCCATGGCCGCTGAGCCTGCGCGTCCGGAGCCTGTGCTCCGCAACGGGAGAGGCCACAACAGTGAGAGGCCTGCGTACCGCAAAAAAAAAAGTTTAATAGAAATTTATATTTACAAGAAGTCTATCCTGTGCTACCATTTAAAAATATATTTTATACCACCAAATTTATTTTGGCACATTATGCTTATGTTTTCTTCCAGGTCCACCTTAAAGGCAATCCAAAAATACAACTCTGGTAGATAAAGGGCATGGGCAAAAGAGCAATGACCTAGAACTTAGGACATGAGAGACCTCTTTAGACCCTGCCAAAAATTAGCCATTTCACCTTGAATTTACTAATTCTCAAACCAAAAAGCAGATTACCTGCTATAACAATGTATCAGAGTATTTCAAAAAGATAGGTTCTGTGAATATATGATACTTGGCAAAATGAATATTTCTAGGACTTTAAATTTTTAGTTTTCCTAAGTTGTCCTTTCACTAACAGGCAATCACACACACACACACACACACACTCACACACATTTCCAAATGAAACCTTGGAAATTAAAATAATAGGTATAAAAGATGAATGTCTTTTGAAATAAACTGTGAAATGGTCAATAGAAGCTATGACAGAGTTATCTTAGATGACTCCCAATAACATGGAACAATACATGAATATTTTTAATATAATTAACATGAAATTACAGTGGGTTTTTTTAAAGCTTCTGGTTAAAATTATTGTTCCCTCATATCACAACCTATGGCTTAAGTTACCTTCATTTTTAAGTCCAGCTCTGCCTTGGTGTCTAGGTCTTGGCATTGACAAAGACAGCATTGCTGAAAACTTAACGATACAATACGAATTAGATATAGCCATTTTCACAACAGGATTACCAACCTGAACCAGAAACAGTTGATTAATTGTTCTGCAAAGATCTTTCTTCTCTCTTAGGACAGCTGTGGTGACGAGATGAGGAAAAATTCTCCTTTAGCCTGTTAAAATAGTGAATACACTAATTGATTTTTTTCATGTTAAAGTCAAACTTGCATTCCAGAGATAAACTCTACTTTTCATCATGTATTATCCTTTCGATATATTCCTAGAATCAAACTGTTGATATTTCATCAAGGATGTCTGCAGCTATGTTTACAAGAGACAGCAGTCTGTAATTTTCTATTCTTGTAATGTCTTTGCTATCAGAGTACTGCTGGCCCCAAGAATCAAGTTGGGAATTCTTCCCTCCTCCTCTAATTTCTGAAGGAGAATCTGTACGATTGGTGTTATTTCTTCCTTCAATGTTCTACAGAATTTAACCAGTAAAACTATCTCAGTTTTGAGTGTGCTTATATGTATTTGAAGGTTTTTTGGAACAAATTCAATTGTGTGCGTGTGTGTGTGTGTGTGTGTGTGTTCAGTTTTCTATTTCATTTTGTGCCAGCTGGATAAATTCTGGCTTTTATGAATGTGTCTATTTAAGCTAGGTTTTCAGATTTATTGACATTAAAATGTTTGTAATATTTGCATATCTTTTTAATATCTGTAGACTCTATGGAAATAGCTCTTCTTTTATCCCTGATACTGATCATTTATGGTCTTTCCTTTGTGTGCCACCTTTCTCAAATGAGTTTCCATGAGAAAATTAAGTCCCCAAAATATCCACTGAATGTAATAAACTAACTTATCTATGCACTAGAATGACAGCAACTATGGACCGTTTGGGTGGCAATTGGGAAAACACTTCCTACATTCATTGTCTGTATTGTTTAATTCTCTCATGGAAATTTGTGTGGTTAAGACTCCTCTAGGAGTTATAGTATTTTCTCTTAACTTATCACTGTCTGTTCTTCATATAAAATACAAAGACACTGTAATAATGGAGTTCCACGTAGCCCCTGTCATTTGGGGTATGGTCACATATACTACTCCGAAAGCATTATGATCACCATTGAGGTGGCATTATTTTGTTTAAACATTTATGTGTCTTTTAAAAAAATAAAAGAATGGAAATATTTGATATTTTCCCACATATTTACAATTTCTGGTGCTTTTTATTCTTTCCTGGAGTTTTCAGCTTTCATCTTCTGTCGCTTTCCTTTACCCAGAAGAACCTGAGCATTTCCTGCAGTGCTAATCTAACTACAACAAATTCTCTCACTTTTATTTATCTGTAAATGTCTTTATTTCACCTTGATTTTTGAAGGAGATTGTTGATACACGTAAAATTTAGAGTATTATTTTCTTTAAGCACTTTAAACTTTTCACATTGCCTTCTGGCTTCTTTTGATGAGAAATCAGCTATCATTTGTATTTTTGTTCCCATCGTGTAATGTGTAATTTTCTTTTGCTGCTTTTAACATTTCCTGTACATCTCTGGGTTGGTTTTTTTTTTTTTTTTTCCTGCGGCACGCGGGTCTCTCACTGTTGTGGCCTCTCCCGTTGCGGAGCACAGGCTCCGGACGCGCAGGCACAGCGGCCATGGCTCACGGGCCCAGCCGCTCCGCGGCACGCAGGATCCTCCCAGACCGGGGCACGAACCCGTGTCCCCCGCATCGGCAGGCGGACTCCCAACCACTGCGCCACCAGGGAAGCCCTACACCTCTGGTTTTTAGCAGTTTGGCTACCATGTGCTTAGCTGAGCTCTTCTTTGCATTCATCCTATTCGCTGTTTGCTAAGGATGATGGATTTACATGTTTGTGTTTTTCACCAAAGTTTGGAAATTAAGTCCTTATTTCCTCAAATGCTTTTTGTCCCATTTTTGCCTTCCCTGGGGCTCAAATGACACATATGTTATATGCCCCATGAGTCACTGAAGTGCTGTTCGTTTCTTTAAACTTACTTCTCTCTGTACTTTAGAAAAGATAATTTCCTTGTTATATCTACAAATTCACTGACGCATTCTTCGGCTATCTTCATGATGCTGTCAAATCCGTCCAGTAAAATTTCCATCTCACATATTTACTTTTAAGTTCTAGAATGATTTGATTCTATGTTATAGTTTGTAATTCTCTGCTTAAATTTTTCTCCTCCCTCATTATGGCCATAATTCCCTTCACATTCTTGAAAATATATTTATAACACATATTTTAAAGTTTCTGTATGTTGATCACAATACCTGAGTTATCATGAGTTGAGTCTTTAGGCACTACAGGTTCCCCCTACTACCCAAAAGTAGCCCATTCCTGTGAAACCTTTCATAAACTGAAATGGCACAAAGCAAAGAAGCAGTTACCTTAGCACACATCTTGCTAATGGGTGCACAGAATAAATCGAGATAAAGCACAGACACTCACAGATACAGCGCAAAGCTACGGCAGCTTAGTGCTTTGACATCGATCTTAGTAATTTTTTTTTTGGATACGTCTCTTCAGACAAGGGAAACAAAAGCAAAAATGAACGGGACCACACCAAAGTAAAAAGCTACTGCACAGTGAAGGAAACCATCAACAAAATGAAAAGGCAGCCTACTGAATGGGGGAAGATATGTGCAACAATATATCCGATAAGGGGTTAATATCCAAAACACACAAAGAACAAATACAACTCAACATCAAAAACAAAAACTAGGCAGAGGACCTGAAATAGACATTTTTCCAAAGAAGACATACAAATGGCCAACAGGCACATGGAAAGATGCTCGACATCACTAAACAAGGAAATGCAAATGTTATAGAGACTTTGGGATCTCTTATTCTTCTTTGAAATATTGATGCTTATTTTAGCAAACAGTTAACTTGGCTGGACCCAAACTTTAAACTCTGTCTCAATGAGATGAATAGCAGTGAAAATCTCTTCGTCCTTTCAGGTTTCCTGCTGCTGTTTTTCAGTGGCAACTGTGACATCTCCCCCATATGTGCCAAGTGCAAGGGTAGGACAAAGATTAGGGGGCTCCCCTTCTGTGGCTTCCTTCTTTGTGGGATTCCTCACCTCACATTCTAGCCACCTAGGGAGCCCTAAACTCCATTTCTCTGACTGTCAATTAGTAAGACAGCGGTTTTCTTCTTGATGTCCTGGTCCCATGCAAAACAAAATTGCTAGAACAAATCATATCCAAGGCACTTCTCTTTTTTTTCAAAGACCATGTACCCTACAGTTTCTGACTGCTTTTGGTCATTCTCCAGTGCATTCATATATTACTTTCTTATATTGGTCTACAGTTATAATTGCTACCCGACAGTGTTAGTTTAATACAAGCTACTTCACCATTATTGCAAGTCATTTATATCCTTTTTATCTAACTGCACATAGTAGGAATTCGGGGGATATTATGTCAAGTGAATTTAAGTCCCCCTACATAGTCTTTTTTTTTTTTCAATTTTCTGATTTATAAAATGAGAGAGATTTCCTACCTTAAACTCCAGTTACATTCCTCACCCTCCAGTCTGTCCCATTTCTCTTGCCTATATTATTTTAATAACCGCCACCTGTCATTCTTCCTCGAAACTCAGCTCTCCACTGGGTTTTTCACAATGACTAATTTGTCTCTAGAATCCACACTGATAATGATTTCCAACTTCATCTCAAATAATAAAGTCTTTGATAACTATCATTGCCAGATCAAAAAACCTGATTTTTAAAGTTAGTGAGTCATTTATTATCTCCCAAATTCTGATTCCAAATGAACTTTTCTCTTTTATGCCTCATACACCCTGAGTTCAAGCCTCACAATTCTACTTCACTCAATAGATCTTGTATCCTCCCCACTCCACATCTTCCCTTCTTATTTTCTACTTGCCAAATATGCTAATCTTCTCCAGTTAAAAATAACATTTCCCCTGTAAAGCCTTAGAATTAATCACACTAGGGACTGAAAAAGCACTTTTGAGCCATTATTATGCTCCTTTATCATATTCACCTTATGTCTTATAGTTCAGCAAAATTATCCTCCCACCTTTATAAGTACTTCTTAAGAAGAAAGTACACTTTATCAATTTGTGTTGCAAGTATAGAGCTAAGTGTATGGTACTGGTCATTCTCTGATGCAACTTGAAAGCAGCACCATTCACACAACTGGATTCCATCTATAGGATATCTATAGAACTCCAACTGTATGTAGTACCATCTATAGGACAAAATATAAATATCCCTTCCGAGGTTGAGAACTCACCTGGCTCTTCACACTCTATGCTCAGCAAATGCCTGCAGAATACAATTAAAACTCCTTAAACCATATTTTAATAAAGTTGAAAGGGACATGATGACCTCCCTCTATGTCCCTCACCTGTCATATCCCCGGGTCCTACATATCTAATAGATATTCTATGAATTATTACCATCCTCTTTCCCATCTTATGGTTATCAAGTTCATGGTTTGAAATACGAAAGATCAAACAGCCAAGTTTCACTGCTGGTTTGTCTCACTTTCATACCAAGCATCAGTCTGGCTAGAGTAGGGGCTACGTTTCCTGTCTGGCTCTTGTCCTACCTATACACATAGTTCCTCATATTTTCACAGCTGAAAATCAGTTCATGTTAGAAAGAATTTTACAAGCAGAAAAGGCGGGGCTGTGGAAGAAATTGATGCTTCGCTGAAAAACAAAGGCATCACCAACGCTTCTGCCACCACCAACAGAGACTGGAAAAATATAAAGCATCAAAATGCATTTTCTCAGCCTCCTTAGCAGTGAGCAGTGGACAGTAAACTAGTTCTTTCCCGTGGGATAAAGACCGATGGCCCGTCTTCCTGATAAGAGGGAGAGATGAAGCTGGTGTCCTTCTCCCCTATTCTTTCATCTCTGAAGGCAGACAGAATATCTGCAGTAGCAGCATTTACTTTGCAAACATAAGACAACACGAAACAAACCACACAAATGTCCGCTTTTACATGACTGAACTGTTGAACCAACTCCAGTGACTGCTTTACTCTGGAACTTTTTATTATATAAGAAAAGTAAACCTCTATTTTCTTAATTGATCATATTCATGTTTCTTGTCACTTACAGCAATATCAAGTTTTATGGCCATCATCGAAAAGACAAGAGATGACAGACGCCGGTGTGGATGTGGAGAAAAGGAAACCCTTGTTCACTATTAGTGGGACTGTAA